CTCCTCCCAAAAGCCAGTATTCTGGCTTTAGATGCGTCCCTGGCTGACATGACAGATAAAGTAGCCCCCTCCTTTCCTTTCAGTTATCCCCCATCCAGACTGGCCCTGGGGGTCTCCAACAACAGGGAGGGAAGGGTCCGGGGGCCTGCTGAACTGCTTTCCCCTGAGGTCACATCTTTGGGATATGGAGTGAACACCAGCCTGAGCAAGAGTAAGACCCCCATCTCTACTAAAAATAGAAAGAAAATTAGCTGGACAATTAAAAAATATATAGAAAAAATTAGCTGAGCATGGTGGTGCATGCCTGTAGTCCCAGCTACTTGGGGGACTGAGACAGGAGGATTGCTTGAGCCCAGGAGATTGAGGTTGCTGTGAGCTAGGCTGATGCCACGGCACTCACTCTAAACTGGGCAACAGAGTGAGATTCTGTCTCAAAAAAACAAAAAACAAAAAACAAAACACCTAGATTCTAGTGTGAAACCAAGTCAAGAAGCCCTGAAATAGGGGTTTATCTATCTTACATAATGAATCTAGAGGTAGGAGGCAGCTGGTGTTGGTTGAGTGGTTCAGTGACCTCCAGGCCAAGGTCTCAATGATACTTTTCACTTTTCCTTTCTGCCTTTCAACCTGATGGTCACAAGATGGCTGCAGTTGATCCTTTTATGTTCAAAGCAGGGAGAAAGTGGCAGGAGGAAGAGCAGGGCCCACCCCCATCTAACAAGGAAATCAAAGACTGTCCCAGAAACCCCTCACACAGATGTCCACTTAGATGTCATTGACCAGAATTGGGCCACCCTGAGCTGCAAAGAGGGTTGGGAAAGTGGACAACAGGATTTCTGATGGGCTAAAAAGACCAATCAGGTTCAATCAGCAAATACATCGCTACTCCCAGATCTGTGTGTGTTATCAGGAGGTCTGGAGTGGCTACTGAGTCGGCAGCCAGCAGGTTCTGCCACGTTACTCACTCTTCCCTCTGTGCCTCAAAGCTCCTGGTACACACGTCAGGTAGGGCAGACACCACATTAATGCATTGCGGAGACATGTGTCAACACGTCTCTGTCTCCCTCCAGACAGACGGTTCTCAACTTAGGCTGCACATTAGAAATACCTGGGGAGCTTCTGAAAGATACCCGTGCCCAGACCCCTTGCACAGAGATTTCAATGTAACTCGTCCAGACGAAGCCCTGGCACCACTAATTCTTAAAAGCTCCCCAAGTGAGTCTAAAGTACAAGCTGAGTTTTGAGAACCACTGCTGCACACCCGCCACCTTAAGAACATCATCTGTAGCCCTGTTGACTAGCACAGTACTTGGAACACAGGGCTCGCAAGAAATCTTCACTGAGCCAATGAATGAAAGGCAGAGAACTTCTGCTCCAAGTCTCTCACTCCCCAGCCTGCAGTGTGCACTGTCCTAACCATGGTTCCTGCCTCCCTCAGATCTCCCTTCTTTGCTGAGTCTTGCACTTAATAAGCCTCCCTTAATTAACCACATGCACGGCCCCCGTTGGCTCACACACGTGCACAGACTGCCTGCTTCAGGGTAGCCCGGTCCCACTCTTTCCTGGAAGCCACTCTCATGTGAGGAGATGACTGTTCTTCAGGAGTCAGGCTTAACTCCTCTACTTTAGCTAAACCTCCTGCCCGGTGTGAGAGGAGAACAGGGGGAGGGGAGGGTGCCACAAGCTTTCTGTCCCACATTCAGCCACCATCCCGAGATGGACACCCAAGTCTCCAGTGGCAGAGCACCTGGCCCAGCTAACAAGCAACACACAGAAAACATTTGCTTCTCCTGCCCAAGCGTAGAAAATTTCATCTTATCCGATTCCTTGGACAAATGTGAGTCTGTGAAACGCCCCTGCTGACGTCACAGGAACGAGGCAGTGGTGAGTACATCCTCAGAGATGGTATCAGCTGATTTCTGGTTCTGGCCCCATCTCACTTCTGAAACTGCTTGTTCAAAGGTAACCTACTGCGGAGGGGGCCATGCCACCCCTCCCACAGCACAACTGATCCCCCACCCACTCCCTGCTAAAAAAAAGAGGAAAAAAAAGGAATCTACAGGGCCAGCCTCATGGGCATGTGGCCTGCATCATTGCACAAGCTTTCTCGCCCTGTGTTCAGAAGGGCCATGTGCTTGTTTTTATACCCTGCTGCCATCACCTTGCAATGCTTAACAGTTTTTGAACAAGGAGCCCCACAGTTTCATTTTGTGCTGGGCTGTACAATTATGTGTCCAGTCCTGGTCACCCACAGTCTCTTGTAACATCCAGCATGGTTTTCCTTCTCAGCAAGGTCTCCGCAGCATATGACCTCATTCTCCTTTGTGCAAGTCTCCCCTCTCTAGTCTTGATGACACACCGCTCTCCTGTTCTCTTGCAACTCTCTGACCTAGCAGGAGAGCTCCCACTTCTGTACTATGAGCATCATCAGGGCTCACAAGGCAAGGATTCGGGCACTGGCAAGTGTGGCGTGCAGGCTGGACAGGTGCCAGCAGGCAGCGGGGAGTGGTTGGACAAGGAGGCAGGAAACTGGGCTCTGATCTTAGTAGGGCCACTGGCCCACTGTGTAACTATGGTCAAATTCTGGGCCTCAGTTTACCTATCTACAAATTAAGAGGGTTAAACTGGATGGTCCCCTCCTTTGAGGGTACCATCTGTCAATCACTGAGACTCTAAACCCCAGCACCAGGAGATGCTGTGGATCGGGTGGTTCTGCAGGAGGTTAGGCCCTGGGATGGCCAAGGCAGCAGATGTGGTTGGGCCTCAAGGTCAAGGGAATTACAGAGGATAAGCCATCATGAGCTAAGGAATGAGATGGATCAGGGTGGGCATGTTGGCTCATATCTACAATCCCAGAACTTTGGGAGGCTGAGGTGGGAGGATTGCTTGAGGCCAGGAGATTAAGACCAGCCTGAGCAACATAGTGAGACCCCATCTCTTAAAAACAAAAAAACTTAAAAATTAGCCAGGCATGGTGGTGTGCACCGGTAGTCCCAGCTACTCTGGAGGTCGAGGCAGGAGGATCCCTTGAGCCCAGGAATTTGAGGTTGCAATGAGCTATAATTTCAGACCACTGCACTCCAGCGGGCAGGACAGAGTGAGAACATGTCTTAAAAATAAAAGCGGGGGTTGGGGGATTAGATGGATCCACATGGATATTGACATCCATGATCCCTTGTCCCCCCTGTCCCTGCAGAACACAGGACAGGAGATGGAGAGGGAAAGCCTGGCCTGGCTACTGAAATCACGGAGGAAGTTCTGCAGTGTGTTCTGGAAGACAGTAGCATAAAAACTAGCATTTGCACAGCACTTCACAAAGCACCTTCATGTCCTTTCAACCCTGTAGCAGTGTTCTCACTTGCTAAGACAGACACCAGGGACCAGTGGGTGAGGTGACATGCCCAAAGTTAAACGCAAATCTCATCTTCTGGCTTCAAAACCTTCCTTCCCACCACCCAGTGAAATTAGGAGAGGCAGCACGGGCTGTGAAGATAGTCGGGATCTGGAAGCTTGGGCAGAGCTGAGCCCTCTTTGGTTCCTGGCATGAAGGGGAGTTCAAAGTGCCAACTTGGGAGCCAAGGGCTCCAGCAAATTGAGAAAACTGGAGTCAGTTTCAACCCAGAACACAAAATCAGCAGGAAAACTCACAGGCAACCCTATCAGATTTGAGGTGCCTCAAAGAACCCCTTCCAGCTCCTAGAGGGGCCATCCACCCGGCACGGGAGAAAGCTGCAATGGAGCCGTAGCATCCCCCGCAGGCAGGAGGGTTGGGCACGGTGGGAGCCAGGAGGTGAGGTCCTCAGAGAGGCGTTTTCCAAGGAAAAGGCTGAGAGAAGTTGGCTCACAGGGAAGAAGGTGACACAGGACACGGCAGGAGGACAGAAGAGAGTAGGGAGAGAGGGAGGTGGGGATACAGGCTGCTGGAGGCAATGGATGTACGATAGATGGGCCCCACCCAGTTCTGTCCCCACCACATGGGGATCCTTCTGCCCAGTCAGGCTCTGGGCAAAGAGGAGGGTTCTGGGAGGCAGAGTCCCAGCCCCAGCTGGAAGAGGGGTGATGGAAGTTGGCAACGTCAAGGCCTTGAGAGGGGAGCCCGGGGCAGGGAATGGAAATGGGGCCTGGTCTCCCCAGGGCAGAGTTCATCAGTGTCCAGGATCTGCCTTCTCTTGGCATCGCCTGGCCAAGACATGGCTCAGGTATCTGACACCTGGGCCCAGAGTCACATGCCAGGAAACCCAACACTCTTGGGCCCCAGCCCCCAACTTCCTGCAGCTACAGCAAACAGGGCTTCTGGAGGAGGAAGCGGGTCTCCAGAGCTGAGCAGCAGGGAGGCTACTTACTACTTCCTGGGAGAGGGCAGCAGCGCAAGAGAAGGCTCTGCCACCAACAGGGTGAGAGGCTGGGAGGAGGAGGGAGAGGAAAGGGGAGGGTGAGCAGGGCAGAGGGGACAGAACTGGGGCAGGCAGAGGGGTGGGTGCTCCCAGAAAAGGGGTGGATGGGCTAGAAGGCAGCGCCAGAGGCACATCTTACCTAGTCATCTAGCCTAGCTGGGCACCCTGAAATCCTACCCTGATCTGTCCCCCTTGTCTCCAGGACACTAGTGCCAGCCAGACCCACAGGTGCCTCCCTGGCCCACCTGGCAGCCACCCAAGTAGGGAGGGGAAAGACTTTACTCCAACAAGGGAAATCAACGCATGGGCAGAGGCAGAAACAGTCACCCCCAAACCCAGAATGACCAACAGGGCCTTGGACCAGGAAACCTCAGAGATCAGCCTTCTGGAATCAACAGACCCTACAAGCCTCAAGCCCAGGGGACTCTTTTCCCAAAGGGCCCTATTGAGGAGCCCTAGATCAAAAGAGATTCCAAGGAGGAAGTAAGAAAGTCACCCAGATCTGAGAGAACCCCCAAAAGAGGAACCTCGGAAAGAGAGAGCTGGTGGGGGTGGGGTGGAATTCTCTTCTCTCACTCTTCCTCTATGTGGTCTTTTCTTCCCCAGATCCTACTCCACTCCAGGACTATGCCAATCTGTGGTCATGCTCCCACCCGCCGCTCCCCTCCTGTTCCTCCTGCTGGTGACAGGCACAGGTGGCACCGTGCCCAGCCCCCGGGCGCCTCCCCGGGGCTGCTACGTGGCAGAGGAAGCAGGCGAGCGGACGTTCCGCTGCAGCCAGGCGGGCCTGAGCGCCGTGCCTGCTGGCATCCCCAACGACACCCGCAAGCTCTACCTGGATGCCAACCAGCTGGCATCGCTGCCAGAGGGTGCCTTCCAGCACCTGCCTGTCCTGGAGGAGCTGGATCTGTCCCATAACGCCCTTGCCCACCTCTCGGGGGCTGCTTTCCAGGGCCTGGCGGGCACTCTGCGCCACCTCGACCTCTCTGCCAACCAGCTGGCCTCGGTGCCCGCGGAGGCCTTCGTGGGGCTGCAGATCCAAGTGAACCTGTCCGCCAACCCGTGGCACTGCGACTGTGCCCTCCAGGAGGTGCTCAGGCAGGTGAGGCTGGCACCGGGCACCGGGACAGGCATCGTGTGTGGCCCGGGAGCGCGCCCAGACCTCGTGGGGCAGGAGTTCCTGCTGCTGGCCCGGGAGGAAGAGCTGTGTGGGGTGGGGCGGGGCGGGGCCCGGAGGGGCACAGACGTGGCTCTGCTGGTCACCATGGGGGGCTGGCTGATGCTGGTGGTGGCTTACCTGGTTCACTACGTGTGGCAGAACCGGGATGAGACCCGGCGCTCCCTCAAGCAGGCCCCCGTGCAGCCCGTGCGCGCCACCCTCAGCACAGTGGAGGTGTCCTCCACCCTGAGCACAGTGGTCTGAAGAGGGGGCGCCCCACCCTCCTACCCCATGCTGCTGCTTTCCTCTGCCCCCTCCCTCTGCCCACTCCTCAGCCCCATCCCACCTTCCCTCTCCATCTCCCCTGAATACCTGCTCTCTCTGTCTCTCTCTCAACCAACACCATCTTTGGTACCTGGAGTTTTTGGTGCCATTCCTGTGCCTGGATTGTGCTAGACTCAGAAAACCCAAAGCTCTGGGTGCCAATGGCAGGGGGGATAGTGACAGAACAGAGAAAGACAGCAGGTGGCACAGCTGTGGGAGCACTGAGGAGGGCAAGTGTGCACCTGGCCGAGGGCCATCTCAAAGGCATAAACGTGTGAACTGACACTCCCTGGGCAGAAGAGAGGGAGGGACCCTACACAAAAGGTCAGGGTCAAGGCAAGGACGATGCAAAACAGCATGGAGTGTCTGGGCAGCGGCAAGGCCGACCCCAAGGCTGGAAAAAGGGTGTAAGGATGGGCAAGGGGGTGGAGGGACCAAGCTGGAGGTAAGGCAGAAAGTCGGGGTGCAGCCAGGTTTACAAGGACCCATGGGCCCCTCTTCCCTTCTCCCTCTGCCTCTGAGAAGCTCACCCTCACTTCTTGCCTCTCATGTCCCCAGGCTCCTCTTCCTGGGCCCTCTACTGGGGGCCCCCCAGATCAGGGTCCCCTGCTTCCTTTTCCAGAGACTCCCCATCTCTCTGCCCTCTCCTTTATGCCCCGATACGTTTCCAGAGCTCCTTCTCCTGGGAGAAAGGTGGTTTCCTCCATGACTGAGCTGGGGACGGGTGACTGGAGAGCTGTGGGCAGGGGGAAGACTCCAGAGCATCACTGCACAACTCAATAAAGTCACTTTTGTGAATGCCCCTCACCTCTCTTACTGCTCATTTACTAGGCATGCGTGGCCTGGTGTTAAGGAGGACAGGGGGGCACCAAGCTCTCCTCCACCGCCTCCACCACCCTTTTTGTGGGGGGTGCTCCCGCTCGGACAAATGCCAGCTTCCTCTCTCCCCTCCTGCCCCCCAGCTCCTGACACCAGAGTCTGTCTGCTGGGAAGCCAGGGCCTATGAATTACTGACGATGGAACTGGAAGGATGGAGGATGAGAGGGAGCCTCGAGGGAGGACAAACGGAGGAGGGAGAGAGGGCAGTGTCCAGGCATTGGTCATCCTTCAGCAGTCTGCAACCTGTTGGCCCAGCCAGCCTCCCTGAGGCCCAGGAAGGGGACAGGGAGGCTGTGACCCTCCTGGTGATCTGTCTTTTCTCTCAGTGGGAGTCGGAACAGAGTGTAGTGAGAAACCAGACGCCTGCGAAGTTAACTGGAGAAGGGGAGACCCAGCTGGCTGAAGGAGTGGGCCAGATGTTCTATGACCAAACAGCCTTCTCAAGGAACCCAAAGGGAAACACACCCCGTCTCCTGCCTCCATTCAGGATGACTCACCCACGTGGCCTTCGTGGAAGAGAGCTGCTCTTGGGGAGCTCCTGGGAGCCTGAATGGAAACCACTGAGCCAGGTTCCACCCTGCTTGGGCAGAGACTGGGGCAGAGTGGGTCGTCAGTCACTCAAGGAGTGGCCAAGAGGAACCCACTGCCTCCCCTGGTCCCACTGCCTTGTCCTGACTTCCCTGTCTCCTCCTAGGTCCCTCACTTCTACCCTTCCTCTGTCCATCACTGCGGGTCCCCCACAACCACTTCAAGTCTCAGCTCCCTAATATCATCCCTAATATCGTCAAGGAAGCCCCTTGACGCATCTCAGAAAATCCTGGTAACCCCATCATCTTTCTCAGGTGACCTGGGCCTCCCCACCTCCAGGTCTGCTCAGTTCTTTCAGACCTAGACTATGGGAAGTTTTGTGCTGTAGCTGTGACCGTTCGTCCCAGCCACACCCTGTCCTGGGCCTTGGGATCCTGACCCCATCCCTATGAAACCCACCCTCGGCCCCTCCCCTGCCACTCTCAAAGTCTGTCCTCCACCAGCTTCTCCCTGTCCTATAGAGCCGAGGCCTGGAGCGGCAGAGGAAGCAGATAGTATGCTCAGGGAGCCCCCAGGCCGAGGGGGAGCCATAGGAGCCTAACTCACAGAAGACCCCCAAACTAATGGAAGAAATGGTGTTCTTTCTTTTGGGGGAGTTCTGAACCTGATGAGACCAAGACATACTCCAGACACAAGTCGTGAGCACCGACAAAGCCTCGCTGTCTACACAGGGAGCCAGGTAGAGAGCAGGCCAGGTACACTGCACTGGGGAGGCAGGAAGGATGCGGCATGGCCCCACCCTTCCTGTCGTGGGTCTTGGGCAGACTCTTTGAGCACAGCACGGAGGCTGAGCTCTCCCAGGAGTGAGGCTCGTCGTCGTCAGAGCCAGAGGCAACCCAGGCAGCTCATTCCCAAAGAGGGACTGCACCTCCCCATAGACAGGGGCGTTCAATGTAACAGAAACAGTTTCACTGCATCCCTCTGAGACTCAGCCATTAGCAACCTCTTCCGCCAGGAAAGAACCCTGCCCCAACCCAGGAAGCTTTGCAAAGGCAAAGCCAAGCAAGGCTCCCCAGCTGCCAAGTGGGTGCCACCACAAGTCACCCATTCATCCGACAAACATCTCTTGAGTTCCTACTACACGCCAGGCATGGCAGATGCAAGGATGAGGAAGTTGTGCCCAGCCTGGGGGACCTGGCAGGCCAGTGCATTGATGATGACAGTCCAGGGAGTTGGGAATGTGTGCAGGAGTCATGCGAGCCCAGAAGGAGGCATCTGAATCAAACCCCAGCTGAGGGTCAGGTACTTTGCCCACAGGAGCACTTGCTCAGAACTCATTTATTCTTAGTTTACAAAGAGTTCTAATAGTTTCAGAACTCTGGGTTCCTGCATAAAACAAGCTAGAAACAATATGTCTGAAGTAGCAAAAATTATATTATAGTCAGAATAAAGCAGAGAGAAATGACAGCCTGACAGCAGGGAGGGACATTGTTGAAAGCCTAAGAACTTGAAAAGCATGGCAGTAGGGCATTCTAGTGTCCCTTACATGGTCCTGTGTGGAAAACCGATTCTCTTTGCCTCAGGGGAGTTTATGGGCATTGGCAAGATGCATAACATTAATCACATTGATGTTGGGTTACCTGCAGAAAAGGTCAAATCCTGGAGTGTCCATTCTCAGAAGCAGAGAGCAGGTGAAGCATGTCAGAAAGAATTTCCTGCCCAGTGCAGTGGCTCACACCTGTAATCCTAGCACTCTGAGAGGCCGAGGCAGGAGAATCGCTTGAGGTCAGGAGTTAGAGACCAGCCTGAGCAAGAGCAAGACTCGTCTCTACTAAAAATAGAAAAAATTAGCCGGGCTTGGTGGTGAGCACCTGTAGTCCCAGCTACTCCGGAGGCTGAGGCAGGAGGACCACTTGAGCCCAGGAGTTTGGGGTTGCTGTGAATGACACCACAGCACTCCGGCCCGGGCAATAGAGCAAGACTCTGTCTCAAACAAACAAACAAACAAAAAAAGAATTGCCATCTTTCCATCCTATCAGTACCAAAATAAAGTACACAGTGTGATTGGTGAAAAATGCTCACTACCTCATCTACGTCCTTGTTCCTATATCCCCCAGGTCCAAGATCTGCTCCCAAGCAGAACAAGCCCAGCCTTTCTTGGGTACACAGCTATTTGGATAGAAGATGGCTCTGGAGTCTCCAGCACTTGGGGTCAGCACATCCTGGTTCTTCTCCGTTCTTGTCTCTCTGTCTCCTTTCATGTCCCACCACCTCCATCCACGCACGCACGAGTGCACACACGCACCTGCCTCAGGCCCCTGGGATCCAGCTGATCTTCTCCCCGCCGCAATACTCATTCTGCACTTAGGGCAATTACTAGCTTCCTCTTTAGAACACTAAAGGAAACCGAAGTTCCTACACTAGCACTAATGTCTGAGGTCAGCCTCCAATTCTCATTCATTTTGGGGACCAGGGCAATTTATCACGGAATGTTTCCTGCAGAAGATGTGTGGGAACAAACACAGGGGCTTGTCTGTCCCTTAGTCCCTGTAGGACTAAGAGATGACTCAAGATCATCCAGACTGCAGCCACAAGGCTCCTTGTAAATACCTCTGTCACTGTCATGGCCAAATGTCAAAACTCCCTGGACTTTCAAAACCTTCAGCATCATGGCACACAATCTGGAAAGCCTGAATATTCGGTGAGCTGCAGGCAGGTTAGGAGGCAGGTCGGGATTCCAGGCCAGATAAGAGGGGCTGGCACACAGGGGCACCACCCACCCAGAATGCACGAGCTGTCCAAGCTGGCGGGGATCTTCATTGTCCCAAAGGGCCCAGAGAGGGGCAGTGAGTTGTCCAAGGTCACACAGGGAGTCAGGAAAGAACCAGAACTAGACACCACAGCTGCCCCTGTCCCTCTGGGACATACACGTATTCCCTTTCCAAGGGAATGAGATGAGGGAGAGGTTGGGAGAGACTAGGGTGGTCCAGGGTCGAGGGACCATTCAGAGACTCTGAGTCCAGTCCCACTCCATCCACCACGAGAAGCTGAAGAAGCCAAAGCAGCCCTTCCCACAGAAGCTTCCAGAAGGTGGGAAGCATCTGTACGAGACTGTGGAGACACTGAAGGTAGCCATGCTGGAAAAGGGGGACAAGGCCACTGGGCAGTGCCCTCCTGTCCTCACTGCTGTGGGGCTCAAGGCTGGGAATCTCCAATCTGCCCCACCCCCACCCCTGCACACTTGCCCGGCTCCTTCCTTCCCACATCCCTGACTGTCCCCTGCATCCCTGCCCATCCTTATGCCAGTTCCCTTAGTAACAGCACTTCTTTAAAGACTGTTCCCTCTATCATCTCACACGGATCCCATGAGGAAGGCTAAATTGCTATTGCAGTCGCCATTTCATAGTGTTTAGGAAACCACACCTGGGACAGTCCCGTGGCTAACCCAAGGCCAATCTGTGAGCACCGCCCAGGTTTTCAGACTCCCGGCTGGCGTTTGCCCTCGCAGCCCCAGAGTTCTCCCGCCCTCAGTCCCTGCTTTCCTTCTCTGGCATCTCCTCCCCTCCTCTCCCTGCCCTGTTGACCGCTGACCACAGTTTCCACATGGAAGCATAGTGACCCTTTGCCTCAAGCAGCTAGTCACTGGGGAGAAGCGCTGGGGTGGCAGATGGAATGTGAGGGAGAGGAGGGGACACGGCCCTCCTGGAGACAGTTTCCATACCTCGGGGGCAGGCCCTCGGAGCCCAGCTGAAATCTGGAAGTTTGGGGTCCTCCATTCCTGTTTGGGCTCTGCTCTCCTCCTGGGCCCCTTGCAACCCCTTCACACCCCTCTGTGTGGCTCCCCAATGCCTGTGCCCTCCACCCACTGCTCCTGTCGGGGAGGCCACATATGTGTTGGGGACAACAAAGGGAAGGAGATGTCAGCGCCCCATTTCTGACCCTCACAGACATCCCCCATTCAAGGACAAGGAGCTGAAGATGCTCCCCTCAGAAGGTGAGGGTAGCAGAGGGGCTCTTCTCCCCGTCCACACCCCATAATGTGGTGGAGGTTGGGGAAGGGAGGACAAAGCCTTTGGAAGTCAGAGGGACACAAAGACCCCCTTCCTAAGCAAAGGAAAAAAACCTGTCAAGTCAGAAACTGAAGCCCAGAGCCCCTTCTCAAGATCTTGGGGTGGTGGTGGGTGGGATGCAGAGGACACGGGCCAGACATAGTGATAGCTGTGATCCACATGGGTTTCTTGGGCCTTTCTGGTTTATCCTCCCCACCCCCAGCCTCCACCATGCTGTTCTAGGCAGGCAAAGGCTAAACCCAGGGCTGCACCGGCTGCAGGAGAATGTCTCTTCTGTTGGGGCTCCCAGTCCTCATGCTCCGTCTCTCCATCTGTCTACGGCA